ACTCAAAGAAGGGCAAGGTGCAAAAGGTTCCTGGACGTACCACCCCAGACCACCCTGGTCCCTCCCATGATTGCGCATGGGCCGGGTTTGCCATGTCAGCAGCCCGGCCTCCTCCGCCTGATAATAGCACGAGACGCATGATTTCCATCCCCCCCCTCTTTCATCCTTTCAATTTATGCTCACGTTGCTTCAATTCGAGCGGGCCTCATTCCATCCCCTTTAATCCAATAAACTTCACTCATCTACAAACAAATTGTAGGTATAGCAGACTACAAGCCCAATTTCCTAATTGAAAACAAGGGAGATTTCTAAACGAAGATCATATCATTATAAATGTGAGTGAGCAAGGGGAGTTGGAGCCCCCATAGGGAACATGTGGGGTTGAGAGGGGGGATTGCATGGGAGAGTTCTCAACTTGTTCCCATCAGAGAGACACACACACACATGCACAGAGCTTTCTTCATCCGTCGTCATGCGCCTCCATTCATTCATCCACTATTTCTTCTTCTTCTTCTTCTTCTTCGACGTCTCTCTATTCCTCCTCCCTCCTCTCTCCATGATGAGTAGGTCCACAGCAGGACAGAATGGGGGAGGGGCATTGCAGGGCCCCGCTTTCTCAAAAAACACACTTACCAACTATGGAGTGCTTCTTGTCTTGTTGCCATCATCATCATCCTCTCATCCACATCCTCCCTGTCACCACTTGTTAATTCATCCATGTCACTACATTCATCCATCTGACTCTGCTCTCCTCTCCAATGCTCACATGACCAAGTAGACCAAAGGAGAGGACACCCAACTTAAGTGAGATGGCCTGTAATAGTTAGTTATCAAACTCCAGTATTATGTAAACATCTGCTACCCATCCATCCTTTTTATTATTTTGTATTATGTGTGCGAAATGATTTGCAATGTGTTGGGACAACATGAACATTTCATACATCTGATCAATTGGTTGACTATTGCTATTATTATTAGTTCTATTTTAGTAGGATTTGTTTGTTGTGGAAGAGTTGCATAGTTGCTGTTGTAATGTAGCACATTCCAGTGTGCATGTGCATGGGTACGTGTGTGTGTGTGTGTGTGTATATATATATATATATATATGAACATTCTCTAACATCTATTCCTTCTTTTTTCCATTTTTGAATATTGGTTTAATCCATTTATTTTTCTGAATTAATTTTCAGAGAACAATATAACATACTTTCACAAATATAACTTTGTGATAATTTGACCCATCAAAAAACAACAGTGTAAAGAATGAACCATATATATATATAATCAAAAGTGATACATTTAAGACATAAGACTGTTATTTGATATCTTCCAAGGGAATTAAACTTAAGTATGTCAAATAAACAATCAAACAAAGAAAAAGAAAAAGAACAGAAACAAATACAAACAAGCCATTATTCCTTCTTTCTTCCATTCTTCTTTTGTCATCTTTGGTCGTGAACAGGAAGAGTGGGGCAATCAAAGATGTACTATAGACAACAATCAGAGCATTGCATAACCAATTTTGTTCTTAATGACTGTTATACATCAAGGGAGGGCTTGGTGCCAAAGGCAAGTTTTAGAATACAAATGGGGCTTAAATAAGGAGGAAGAATTCCAGTGGGTCCAGCATGACAAATCAAAGTCCAGCTTACATACATCTATTGTTGTTTACCATTAACAATAATCTAAATGATGGGCTTGGCATGACAGTTTTTGATAAGTATAATATTTCAATTTAAAGAGCTCAAAAGTAAATTAAGAGAAAACAGGTAAAGGAACAACCATAAAACCATGACGGTTTGATAATATGCATCCATGCATATAAACCTAACACCCAGATATGAGGGTACAAAGAGGTCTCTATTCCTGCAGAAAAATCTTCCACATTTTAAACTTTCTATGAGAAATAATTACCAGTAATTGGCTCTAAAATATGTTTCCATGAAACAATGAGAAGAGCCAAGCACGAAAGAGAGCTTGAAACCCAATGACCCATCTTCCTCTTTTCTATCAAGCAATATTAGTTTCCATTTAACCTTAATCTCTACAGCATCCACTCAACCCTGATTTTTAAACTATGCACATTACGTGTGAGCATGTGTGTGTAAATGCAAGGTTTACTGCCTTCTGAGTGCTCTTCTCCTGTATGAGCAAAACCAAGGGAACTTGAATGTAGAGGGGAGGTTTATGAAGTGTACATTCTTCATTCTAATAGTATTCATTTTTTTAAAAAAAGAATAGGGTTTTCTAGGCATACAGAGTAATTTTGGGGGAGGTGGGGAATTCCTTGCAAGGCTATATCTAGTGGGCTTTGCTAGAAGACTAGCCATGGTAGATACAGAAAATGGTTATTGGGCTAGGGTAAAATAAGTGACTTCACCTACATGCCTGAATGCTGTGGTCACATGAAATCACCCTTGTTTGTAACAATCAGATCTATTTTGTTTTGTTTTTTTTCTTCTTAACTAAGAACTTTTATTTGTATAATGGTTATGTATTTTATTTATTTTTTATTCCCTTCATTCCTCTCCGCTTCGTTACTTCTATTTTAAGATCTATTATTAATATTGTGTCTATTATTGTAATTCAGCCAATGTTTACAGTTATCTTTCTTCATATAGATGGCAAAATACTTTTTGGGAGTAAAAGGAAAACTGCACACCATGTTGAAGTGAATGTGCCTTAGGTTTGATCTTGATGTGTGGCGTGGCTGTTCCCGTCGATCTATCATGTTGATTCCAAGTGCACCCTGTGTTTTAACTTTGCTGATTGATTGATATGTTTATTCAATTTTTAGATTAGAGTGGAAGGAGAGGGGAGCTCTCTCATTATGATAGCCTCACTTCTAGGATCAGGACCTGCAACAGAAAAAACACTTCATCAAACTAGGGTTTGGATTTGAAGCATGTGTAAGTGTGTGTGATTATATATATATATATATGTATATGTATATATATATACACCTCACAGTGTGTGTGGAATCCACTGGGGTTTTGCATCTTTGGGTTATGAAATCTAATAGGAAAAAACTACTAGCAAGAAGAATCCTCAATGATTCAGACCCCCCCCCCATTTAAAGTACTATTCTATTGACATAGAGATCAATATGTATATATATATATATATATGTATGTGTGTGTGTGACTCCAATTTTTTATTTTGACAAGAGGTACCCACTGGACCCTGTGAAAAGAAAAGAGTGCTCTCTATACAGACATCACAGTCTTCTTGGAGCACAGGACAAGACCTTCCAAAATCCTACTAGGCAATATCAAATCCCAATCAGCCAATTGGGGCATGCCACATCCCAACTCTGGGTAGTATTATTATAGACGATTGACAATCTAATCTGTTCATCAGATTTCATTGCTTCACAGAAAAACAATCTACATTTTAAAAAAAAATAATATCAATATAAAAAGACGAAAAGAAATCTCCAATTTCATTCTAGGATTCCACAGATATTACAACCTGCCCTGTATATTCTGACTGAGTTGGACACCATGGTTGCAACTGATCTGAAGGCTTAGTAAATCTATCAAGCCTACTTGCTGTTTCATATTGTCCCCCCCCTTTTTTCGTATTATCAGTTGAACTATTAAATAGCACAAGAAATGATGAACATTAATCCAAAAGTGAACTTGCCATTCATCCATGGGGTGCAAAACTATGGCAAATTCCCTCCCCAACCAATGATTGTGTAAACTTCATGAGAATGCTTTTATATTGACGATGTGAGGGAAAACGGAGAATGCTAATAACCAAAGCTGGTTTGCTTGGGGCATTAAAGTCAGGTGGCCATAGTTACTCCCCCTTCATCCACCTGGTTACACAACATTCACCCCCTAAAATTCAGCCATATTAATAGCCCAGCCATGTACCACACCCAATCAAGGGCTCCAGGACTTTACCTCCTCTCGGTAGATTATTACCTCATCATGGTAAAATTTGCCCCCAGCTGCGGTACAGTTCTAGCTTGGAGGTATTACTACTCCGGTAGACCTTAACGGTTCCATACGGGCCCATTGGCTCCGTATAGGCTCGCACCCTCATGCAGGGCCAACACATGAACCCGCTCCTCTCTGGTGGAGCCCGATGGTGTCCACTCAGTGGGAGTCCCGACCGCTGGACGTGGCCCACGCTCTGGTCAGATTTCGGGTACATGAAAAGGATCTAGTGGTAGTACATGAACCCCATCAAACTGCTTCGGCTACCCCATTGGCCAAGCATGATCTTTCCCATTTTCAGGTGCCGAATTAGGGCTAAACTGATTTGCTCCCTTCAGATCAGGTCCCTTTTCACACCTGCTTTCATACAATGCACATTGTGACTCCTGTCTAGCACATGTGTACATGAACCGCACCTTTCAATTATATTAACCAATTAGTGAATCCTCAAATCATCTTAAATTTCTATAAAAAAAGTTAAAAAAACAAATAGTGTGTATATATGCTTCAAAATCTGATATTAAATGTCAAGGTGGTGATTAAATTACAACGCCTTGTCCTTGACTAGAGCAAGTGCGCAATTGGGCACACACACACACACACACACACACACACTCTCTCTCTCTCTCTCTCTCTCTCTCTCTCTATAATAGACCCAGTCCTTGCAATGGAATTTGAGGCTCAACACCTCACTCGAATTCCACCAAAGTTCTAGATAGTAGTAGAGGCAGGAGGAGGATGGCTCCGCAGTCGAAGCGTCTCAATGAGGAGAGCAGTTATGGGCAGAAAAGTCCTGGAGACGGAAGCGGAGGGGGGAGAAGGGAGGAGGGGCCATTTATAGCGTAACGCGGTGGTACTCTATGATTAATCTTTAATGAAAAAGGGTACAGCCCTAATTAAAATTCCAACACCAAAAATGGAATGTGAACGAACGTGGATGTCACTCGGCGACGGAGGATGATAAGCTCTCACTTCGTTTCTTCGTTCGTTCGTTCGGTCGTCGTTAGCAATGCAGCTATCAACCTGCATAGCCCGTAGGCATTTCTTCTTCCTTCCGGTTCTTCTTCTGTTTGTCAGACATGTGCTGTGCTTTCGTATACTGTGGCGCAGCATCACGAGTGCTATTTCAGAGCTTGCTGGCTTGTGAGTTTCTTTGCGTCAACTAGTCGGCTCAGCTGCTACTCCGTTGGTCGGCCGGTGCTTCTTCTCAGCGTCTGCAAATACTTGTCCTGAGTACTCTAGCGATAGTTTTGGATTTCTTTATAAAATTTCCCCCTATCAACCACATTATTGTTCTGTTCGCGTGGTGGAATTTGTTTGGCCAGTATTGTGCTGTCTGGTTTGATTTGGTGAGTGAGAATAGGGGATACGCGGGGGAAGTTGAATCGAGGTGTGGACCTAAGCAGTGCGCGATTACTGACCTGATGGGAGACTTATAAGCGATTCTTCTGAGTTTCGGGAATGAATAATTTGAACCTGAGCTTTGCCGTGGGATGGTGAAGCTGAGTTGGGACTTCGTTCTTGTAGGATTGTGATCTTTGGGATAAATGAGAGGTGGCAGTAAAGGCGGTGTGTGGTCCATGGGTCGATTGGGTGTGTTAGGTCGACAAGTCTGTCGTGTGTGAGACCGTTCGGGAGGTTGCGCACCATGACTTACGCGAAAGCCTGCGTGTTTGCTGTGTAATGCTCTAAGCCTAGGGAGTCTTGCTTGACAGGGAACACTGATTCTTGTAATTCTCTGGTGTTGTAGCAAAGTTTGAGTGGACGTCGAAGCTGTTGTTTAGTTAGGTGGGGTGAACCTTTGGATCCCTTAGCGAGCTCTCTCTCTTTTGTCATTACCCTGGCTGCGAGTGGCTTGCGGGCCGTGGGCAGCTATCTCCTTTATGCCATCTACAAACGCGCCGTCTGTGTTGCATTGTAGTTTTCTTGTTTGACCACCTTGCGTTAGCAGCGGCGTCCACTGTTTAATCCTTGGTATTCATTGCCTTGTGTTTATTGAATCGGTGTTTAAAGAGAGTTGCTGCGTTCTATCTCACTGTCGCAGCGTAAATGGTGTTTCGCAGTTACTCTTCTTTTTTCTACCCAATTCTCCTGTTCCTGAAGTTGATATCATCGTGAGGTTTAACAGGATCTATGATACCTTTTGTTCTCTCTCACTAGTTCAGTGTTGTCGCTCTTTGGCACGCTGAGAGTTAGTATGAGCTTAGGCACCTGGATGATCATCGCCCAATTCATTCCTCGGATCAGCTGCATGGCCTAGAGTGCGTTAAACTTGTATGCAGCCCTCACATGCCTGAGCCTTGCGACCGTGCTGCACCTGGAGAACTCGTTGCTGAGACCCTTAAGCGAGTTTTAAAACTCTTCTCATTTCTAAAGCTCGGCTTCAGGTGCAATCAGCTAAAATGATGGGAGATATGCATCACGTGCACAGAGGAATCAGGCCTTCTGATGTTCCTCTCTACGACGATACTGGAGTTCAGGATTTGAACTCTTTTACTCCAGCCTACCAGCAGGTCATACCTGGAAGTCACGGTGTTCCAGTACCAGTGTCATGGTCGGCTACGGATCCGACTCTGCTTTTGAACGAGCAAAGTAGCGGAAAAGGGCTGTTATCTTGGCAAGCTGAGAGCTGTGTTCAGCAAAGTTTGCAATACAGTCAAGCAGGTTTCGACACTGTAGGACACGTGGAGATGATGGCAGCTCTGAACGCTGATCCATACAAATCTCTAGGGAACTATGAGTTGACTCAATTGGTTCAACTGTACTCAACATATTATCAGGATCCATACCCTTATTCAAACCTATCTTTTTCGGACTCGGTCACTTTTCAGCCAGATGTTTCACTGCCTACGTCGAGCGATTGCTTGCAGGTAGTTAGTTCCTCAGGAAGCGACAGTTTATCGACCACCGAGACATGGAGGTCGGAGACAAGTGGGGGTTGTGCTCCGTCCAGTTATGAGAACGTTCTCACTAACCTGAATGAATCCTCCTCCGTAACCCTGGTTAGAGACTCTCATGACAGCAATTTTCAGCCTCAGAGGCCGCATCTGGACATGTTGAAGCACGATCAGGCGGTCTCGCTGCCACCTGTTCATGAAATGTGGATTCAGAACCAAATACAAGCCGGTGTCGGAAGGAATACTCTGCACACAGTTCTGGCGTTGACTCAGGACATGCCTTCCTACGATGTGCTTCCTGTTAAATCGTCATCCGATCCTCCGACTTTCAAACGTCCTAGAACTTGGGGTGAAGCCCTTCAGCAGGGATCAGCACATTGTGACTCCCTGCGTCACTCACTTGCTTCGAAAACTAGTCCGACACTTGATTCTACACAGCTCAGTTCGTTGTCGAGATCAATACCTAGCCGGCAATTTTCTTTCCAGGGAAAGTTGTCACCAAGTCACCTCTCAGGTGCCGGTGGGTCAACTTATTCTCGGCTTCCGGGTCTGCCAGAGGAGGGCAGGTTGTGCAACGGTAAACCGGCAGCAACTTCAGTGGAGCCTCAGAGCGTCGCCGCAAGACATAGAAGGAAGAAAATTAGCGAGAGAATCAGAGTTCTGGAGAAGCTTATTCCTGGAGGTAACAAGATGGACACTGCCACCATGTTAGATGAAGCGATTGAATACGTCAAGTTCCTTCAGTTGCAGGTACAGATCCTTGAGAGTGACACACTTGACAACGCTCCCCTAACTGCATCAAACGGGCAGAATCTCCCACTTCAGGGGAGTAGAGCAAAGCAGGGATTGAAACGAAAGGGAGATACCTCTCTGGGAGGCGACTCATCTCCAGCATTGTCCGTACGGGCGGCAACGAGTCCTCTCATCCTGTCAGAGGTGCTGCAGCAGCAGCTCTTCAAGCAGAAGCTTTGTCTGGTATCAATTCGGCAATGTCCCCCACGCGCAGCTTCGACCCAAGCTGCTGCAGCTCCCAGCGTTTTGCGAAAGAATTAGTGTGTATTATTATCAAGTAGGCTGCTTGTGAATATTTAATCATAGACAGGTCGCTCCAGTTTTGGTACTTTATATCAGCGACGGTCCTGGCTCGAGAGCATCACGAGGATTTAGGTCAGTTTCAGGCCATTGAGAATCCATTGTACATGGATACAATACACTTAAAACAATGTTTTGATAAGCAGTTGGAAGCTTGTGTCAAATTTGCGTGTTGTGCTATTCTAACTGACCAGTCTGTTGTTGCGTTTTATCGATGTTCATCAGCTAATGATCGAATCACTTTGTGTTGTACGAAAAAAAATAGCTAGTACTAGTCTACTTTCGCGATCACATTACCATACGCTTGTAGCTCATCTTGACTTGAAACTGTGTAGAGACGTTTGACCTATGCTTTGTACCTATGTATTTGGGTTGTAGATACATGTTAGTTTGTTGGAACAAAACTGCTTTCCAAATGATAAAAGACCCTCTTGTTGCTCAAATCATCCAGTTCAACAAGAATATGAACTGTTCTACAAATCACACTTGTAAACCTCAATCTAGATCAAGCAATATCACCTCGCATTACCTCTGACCTTTTCTCAGGAAATTATTCTGTGATTGTGTCCTGCCTATTCACCATTCTCAGGTGCCAAGCCCTAGGCGAAGATTCAACTGGTTTCTCTCCGCAAGCAATGGCAAGGTTTCGCCCCAGCTATCGAAGACACATACTCTGATCTGGTAGTGGATCTGATCTTCGTTAGCTGCGTGGAATCAGACCCTAATTGCCAACAGTTCTTGTCACTTTGAACTTTCCGTGTGGGTAGGAATGTTGATTAATGTCGCTTGATTTTAAAGGAGTGGTGCGTAAGTCTTGCCACCGCAGTGCAGACCAAAGATTTTACTGCAACAGGAAGCTGGCAGTGGATTTAAGATTAGCCCAACCCACAGACCTGGCTTTGAAGCCAACGAATTCATTGTGAACCCGAATGACTGCGAATCTATTTGCACAGAACCGAATGGCCGAGCTGCGGGTAAGTTGTGAAAAGAATTCAATCCATAATGGTGGATTAGGTGGAACTGGTCAGTCAGTTCGTAAATATACACACACACATATATATATATATATATATATATATATCGCCGCTTTAAATTTTCGTACAAAGATTTCATGAGAAAAAGATCCTTCACGCTCCCAAATGAGTCTTCTTTTCACCTAAATCCCTACTGTTTATTTGTACCTCAATGATTAGAGTCCCTCGGCACCCCAATTCAGTTCAAGTTATTTATCATGCACATACACACATTCAACTCATGCAATTTCCGCTTGTACAATATCTTTCCAATTTCAACTCTACGAAATGTGCCGGTTTTAAAAGCGCGCGCTTCTGCTGGGTCTGACAAGAATTTATCCTTCGGAAGGGCCATGGGAATTTGGGGCCTGGGGACAAGCTTCAAGGCACCTTTTTCCAACCTCTTTTGACGTACTGCTGGAGACTACCTTAGGGGCGCTAGTGCCAAAGCAGATCTCCGCTTTTGGGAAGAGCATTACGGAGCCATCAATGATTGATCATGCCTTTCTACCGTTTCCCAGACTGGAGGAGCCTCAAAAGGGAAGGCCACTGAACACGACTGTGAAGATAATTGGACAACTTGAAGAGTTGGGTCAACTGCAGATCCTCTCGAAAGCCGAACTAGCAAAGCCAAGGCTGTGTCGAACATGCGCAGCCCGGATCCATATTCCCAGCTAGAGGATGCTTCGGATACTTGACCGATCGGCCTGGAGATTAGCAACTCCCATCTGTTTTTACACCTGTAACCAGAGCATGATACAATCTGAAGGATCTGTCCCTGAATTTTTGTCCTGTAAGGTTTGCCTCATGGCAAGCTTCAGATTTGGGATATCTACAATTGGAACCCAATTGCACTGGGGTGTCGAATTGGCATCCACGATAGCTTTAAAACACCGACCCATGTATACGTTTTCGTCATATTCGGAATGAGATTTGTGAGGTCGTGTGCCGGTTTTCTGGACTGATTTAGTTCGACACAAGTCATGTCGATGTCGTAATCACCCTCCGTTGAACGTTGCCGTCATGCAAAGCTTGAGCCTCATTTATATATATATATATATCAAGGTGGGCCTGGTGCTCACGTTGTTTTTTCGATCGCTGCCTCTCACATCAACATCTACTCTCATTTTCACGCATATTTGTGTATGTTAGTTTGCTGCCTTTTAAATCAACGTCTTCTCTCACCTCGCATGCTGCTGATGTTGCGTTTGCTTTTTCTTGTTAGTAGTTTTTTTTTTTCCTTGAAGTTTTTAAAGCACTAAGGAAGTAAATTTTTTTGATGTTACAACCAGGTTTTTATCTGTATGTGTTTAGTACTATCTCTTTGTGTCAAGTATGCCAAATTAGAGTTGATTATTTTTTTGGTCTTGAGATTGTTGCATTAATAATCTAATTCATTTTAATATCCAACGTAACATCCTAATCTGTTTTTCAGTTTAAATGAAAGTGGAAGGGATTTCTTTTGATATCTAAATTTTATTTTGTTTTGTTTATTTGTATTATTAATTCTAAAGAAGATTTCTATTCCCAAAAAATTCATTAGATTTGAATTGTTACATGTGTATTAGATTAAAGAAATTTAGAAGGTTGCATTAAGTCAATTGAAGACATTTCTATTTTATTATGTTAGATTATAGCATATTATAAAGGTTCATTTTATATTTGATCCATTATATTTTGTAACTTATTTAATTTATTCAAGTCCTATTCTTTTATCAATATATTTTTTTGCATTATTTGATAAAAATAGATGATAAGTTATTCTATTTTGCATATAAAACAGATTACCATCTGTATTATTTACTTTGTCTTAAGAAACTTAAAATATAAAGACTAGCCAATTAGAATTGTTGCAATGGTGTAATCTCATTCAATCATTCAAATTAAAATTTGAAGGATCTTGTTAGGGTAATTATATTTTCTATTTAAAAATTTGAAAAAATATATATTTTTGTTTGTGTGACTTTTAAAGAAGAAGGTGAATTTGGTGGCTAAATTCTAATAAGTTAGCATTTTGGATTGTTTAAAAAAAGAGATGTGATTTTATATATTTTAATTTAATAAAGATAAATAATATTTATCTTTTGTTATGATATCTTTTGTTGTTAATTATTATATATCTTTTGATCTTATTATGATATCTTTTGTTGTTAATTATTGAGACTTATAAAATCTTTTCTAGAATATAATTGTCTAAATTATTTTAAAGAAGATTTGATCAAACTATGCATATCTATTGTCTGATTATTATTTTCATTTAAAAATTATATAAATTAAGTTTTATATTGGATAATATGAAGTAGAAAAAAACAATCAATCTTAAAATTTAGAACTTCTAAAAACTTCTTCATGTAATAAAAGCTAATTTAAGATTAAGTAAATTTAGATCTTTGTATTTTATGCATTGGCAAATAATTTTCTAAGAGGCCTTGGCTTTTGTATTATATTGTATTATATTTTTTTTTCCCTATTTAGAGCTTATATTTTATTTTATTTTATTTTATTAATAATAAATTATATGGTTAAAGAAGACTACTAGAATATAATAAAATAGAGAATAGAAGCAAAAATAATATAATAAAATATTACCTATGTTCAATTAAACTTAATTCAATTGACCATTAGTATTTTTATTTATAATATATCTATCAAACTAAGAAATTACCAATTATTAAAAAAATAAGGCTTAAGTCAAAAAAATACTAAAGATAAGATTTAATTTATAATTAATTTATAATTTTTTAAATTCATTCTAATATTTGAAGATTTTAGAATGAAAAAGTATTATAAAATTTTAAATTTTTTCAAAACAATACTTAGTCTTGTAGAGACGATAATTAATAATTTTGATAAATACATCAATATTTGATTTTTGATCTTATAAAAAAGTCTTAGAATCATTTTTATAATTAATAATTAATTAATTAAATTTAAATGTAAATTAATCTATTTAAGAAGATAAAGAAAAGAAATTAAAAGATAGTAAAAGAAATGGATTTGATAAGAATGAATTTGATAGAGTATTAAAGAGACAAATGAAGAAGTGACCGGATTAAGAGTGTTTGAGAGAGTAGTAGAGAGAGAAGAGAATAAACTAAAAAAAATTGATGAAGGAAGAAATTGAAGAGAGATACTAATAGACTCATGAATTAAAATAAGATCAGTATTTGTGTTACAAAACATTAGAAGACAATCATATTAAACAAAGTTAAAAGGTAATGATTGAAAGCCATGACTTTCATTGAACCTAACATCTTAAGAAACTATAATTTTTCTAGTTGCAAAAATATAACATCTAATTGCTCAATTACAAGAATTGTAATCTATAATGATTCTTTCTAAGATTTTAATGTGAAGTTTGATTTGGAAGTTTTCAACGATATAGATGAAAGTTTTGTACCAAAAGGTACAAAGATGTAAGATCTTTGGTTGTATCTTAGTAAATTTTTCTTTATATAAGTCTCCTTGATTAGCTTCGATTGAAACTTTGTTAGTAATATAGGCTGGAATCTTGATTGCTTTCAACAAAAGAAATGCTAAAATATTTATGTCAAAGGAAATTCTTTAGACTTTGTCTATTAATTCTATATTCATCTCCTCAACAAGGCTATTAGATTGTAAAAAGCGAGTGGTAATTTAATGTCGATAAATGACTTTTTCCATGTAAAATTACTCAAATTCTTAACTTAGATATTTTTTATTTCTATTGATTTATAGATAGAGAATATATTAATTATATTAAATTTTAATATTAATTGGTTGATTAAAAATATCATTTTAAGTCATTTAATTATAGAAATATTAAAATTAGAGAGTCTTTTTGATTATTTAAGTATTCATTAGAATTTAGAAGCATTTTTAGGTTAATAAAGTCTTATTAGAAGAAAAGTTATAAGAGTGGAGTCTTAGTAAGTCTTAGAGGCAATATTTTTACTTGATTTAGTACTTTTATTTATTGTTAAATACTAATGTTCAATTATTGAGGCCAATATCTATATTTGTCTTTTATTTAAATTTATTATTTATAAAAAGGACCTATAGATATTATTTAGTATTTAGAAAGAATATAAAAAAGAACCTCAATTCTTTTTAATTATTTATATACAAAATAATATTTTTAGTTTATTTAAATTTATTTTATTATTATAAATTTTTTTTAAGGTAGGAAAGTAT